TGTCCAGGGAGACGCACAAGGACGACGTCACGGACGCGCCCCCTTTGGAGCACAACAAAACTAAAGCACGGACCGGCAGACAGTCTCTTGGTTCTTCCTGCAATCACTATAACAACCCTTCCTTCTGCGTTCCGCGAGTACGTGTCTTCTACTACGACCCGCGCCTGTAACGCACTGAGGCCTCTGTACATCCACGAGGACAGCATCCATCCCCGCTGTCGGAGACGAGAACTTCCATCACCAGCCACTTTCGGGCTCCCTGGACACCCCACCACAACACTATTCTAGGCCGTGTCGTGTGTGGAACCCACGTCTGGACCTGACCTGCTGGCTTCCTCCTGCTCCCCGTTCGGACAAAGGACACGTGGACGAGGCCTTCGCTGTTCCCATCACCCTTCTTCATCCTCATCATCTCACTGCCCCATCGCCATCACCTCTTTGAACCTCTCAAAGTAAGACTGTTCCTTGTTGGAGTGTGATTTGAATGATATGTATGACAATCTTTACTTAATGTGACCAGAAAACCTTTTTTGTTGATATTTTTCTATTTTCATTTTTGTAGTCAATAAACCCACGTTAATTTTAACTCAATCATTTAAGAGTCGTGTTTTTAAATCTCGGATATCCCTGGCCGATTTTCGTACTCAGCCCATTAGATTTGTGATACTGGTATCGAGGCAAATATCTCCTGGTCTGTCGTAGACCCCAAGACGTCTACTGGTGCCCAAAATAAATAAGACAGATCCATTGGTGGAACGGCGAGTTTCTGATCCGGAGACTAGCCGCTCCACACTACTAAATTTATGATCCCACTCATATAATCACCCTTTACATAATTCTTACCCTACAGTATATGGTGCCCCGTGTGAGGATCCGCGCATATTTCCAGGTTTATAAACTCTTACTCTGAAAATTTGACCGGAAACGCTAACTTGTACTGCTCACGGTCCAAGTGCTTTCCCCCCACCTCCTCACCCCACGCCAGTGTTGCCAACTTAGCGACTTTGTGGCTAGATTTAGCGACTTTTCAGACCCCTATAGCGACTTTTTTTCAAAAAAGCGACTAGCGACAAATCTAGCGACTTATCTGGTGTTTTGGCGACTTATCTGGTGTTTTGGAGACTCGTGAAGCACGTATTGTTCTGCTGTCCTCAACGTGAGCCCCTCCCCCGTCCCAAAGCACTTACAGGCGGCCAGTCTCACAGTAGCCTTGCGCAGCAGTCCCAGCTACAGTCTATGGGCGGAGCAGAGAGAGAGAGAGGAGACTCAAAAGCACAGGAAGTTTTCAGGCTGCTGCAGACTGAACTTCAGCTCCACCACCACCACACATCCAAAGCTCCCCGGCCACTCCTACCACCGCCACCCCCCACTACCCCCCACTCCATCCGCGGCAGCTCTGTCCGTGACTCTGTTTTCTCTCAGTAGTGGGTCACATTAAATCATTTGTTATGCCAAACTATGAAAAAAAAAAAAAACTTACAAAAATAAACCTAAGTAACTCTGCCAGAGTGTGTCTTTTGGGTCACTTTGCCGGTCCCAAGCCCGGATAAAGGAGAATGGGTTGGTTGTAGAGCTAGCAATTTCACCCTACATAACAATCTTTTGATTACATTTGCTGTTATAACATTTAACAATACAGGACAAAACTGATGTGTGTAATGTGGATCTAGACAAAGCATTAAAATCATTAAATGTTGTTAATGTTGAAATTATTTTTGTACATTTGTAGTTCTAAACATATTTAGGGTGTTTTTACTCACTTTTGTCTCTCCCACGACCTTATTCCTCTCTCCTACAGCGTCCGTTACAGTTATTTGCAAATTTCCAATTATGCAAATTAGGCAATGACGTCATTTAGCGACTTCTAGCGACTTTTGGGACAGCCAATAGCTACTTTCCTTACTGAGGAGTTGGCAACACTGCCCCACGCCTCCCTGCTACCCCGCTGCTATAGTGATTCCAAAGCCAATCGAGCTCCCCCGCGCCCCGCTTGCGTAAATCGACACGTGCATGCACAAGACTATTTTATTTTAGTCTTAAAATCCCGACTTCGCATTGGGTACTACACAACTCTTCAACGTAACGCCTCGCGTGGCCAGCGAGCGCGACGTGAGTCGTGAAAGTTGTTTCACCTCTTAAGAGAAAACGCAAAACTCCCCCTGTGGAACCAAAGTACGCCGTGCCCAGAACACGGGCGTACAAACCTACTCTGTGTTCCTTTGTGACCCGCGTCACGGAGGATTGTAACCAAGTACATAGGCGTATGAAGGCTATGAATGGCAGCTGTCTGAATGTGATGCTACCGTTCTGCTAGTGACCCCTGCTAACCCCTGTCTCTCCCCTCTTTCCGCCTGCTAACCAGGCTGTCCTAAACACACTACACGCACACACCAGGACTCTACTGCACAATACAGCCAAACTCCACTCCACCATTGCAGATACGTGCTTGTGCGAGTCGTATAACTCACTGCGATACTTTCGTTGTTTAAACTACTGCTAGTCCTCTGTGTTCAGCAAGCTAACGGCTAGCTACACTCGTTTGTTTTTAGCATAAGGCTAACTTCCGGTCCCGGTGCGCTAGCTCCGGGCCTACACTCGGGCAGGGTCCACCGGACCTAACCACACTCTTCCACTAATAGCTGCTTCGTTATTGTTAGGATTAATGCCACTCTGCTTACCCAAATTGCATTCGGTTGCTAAAACTCAATGTTTTGGTGCCTAGACTACTGCTAAACCTGCTGTTTTCGGCAAGCTACCGGCTAGCTACACTCCTTTGTTTTTAGCATACGGCTAACTTCCGGCTCCGGTGCGCTAGCTCCGAGCCTGCACCGCCGCTGTGCTTGCACTAATTCTGAACCACTCTGCTTATTGCACTGCTTACCCGTTGTCTAACAATAACACTACTTGCTATACTTTCGAGCTATTCCGGCTCACACTGATTCTGTGTTTTAGCGATAAAAGGGTTCTAACCCCGTCTCTGCATACTGCTAAACGGAGCTACACCTCTTTTATTGTCTAGCATTGGACTACTTTCCGGTCCCGGTGCGCTACTCCCAGGGCCACACTGCTGCTGACTTGACATTTAATTCTGCTCCTCACCCGCTGCATGTAATTGTTGAACCGCATTACTGTGTTGTTTAAACTAGTGCTGTGCTCTTGCTCCTGTCCACGGCATGTTATTTTAAACCACATTACTGTGTCGGTTAAGCTAATACTGTATTTCTGCCCCCTCCACGCTACGTGTTGTCACTAAAACTGCATTGCCTTGTCGTTCAGCCTGCTGCTTACTTGCTACTACTAACGCCGCTGCGTCTCAAACGCCACCGCGTCCCAACGCAGTTGCGTCTTAAACGCCGCAGTTTCGTCTCAAACGGCGCTGCGCCCCAACGCAGTTGCGTCTTAAACGCCGCAGTTGCGTCCTAAACGCCGCAGTTGCGTCTTAAACGCCGCAGTTGCGCCTTAACTGCTTCTCATACGCCGCTGCGTCTCAAACGCCGCTGCGTCTCAAACGCCGCTGCGTCTCAAACGCAGTTGCGTCTTAAACGCCGCAGTTGCGTCTCAAACGGCGCTGCGCCCCAACGCAGTTGCGTCTTAAACGCTGCAGTTGCGTCTTAAAAACGCCGCAGTTGCGTCCTAAACGCCACAGTTGCGTCTTAAAAACGCCACAGTTGCGTCTTAAAAACGCCACAGTTGCGTCTTAAACGCCGCAGTTGCGTCCTAAACGCCGCAGTTGCGTCCTAAACGCCGCTACGTCCCAAACGCCGCTGCGTCTCAAACGCAGTTGCGTCTAAAAAGCCGCAGCTGCGCCCTAACGTCGCTGCTTCTCAAACGCCGCTGCTTCTCAAACGCCGCCGCTTCTCAAACGCCGCCGCGTTTCAAACGCCGCTGCGTCCCTACGCCGCGTCCTTACGCCGCGTCCTTACGCCGCGTCCCTACACCGCGCCCTTACGTCGCGTCCTTACGCCGCGACCCTAAGCCGCGTCTTAACGCCGCGTCCTACTACTGCTACTACCGCTGGTGCCACTGCTAACCCTACGTGCGCCAACGCCGCTAACCCCACCGCTCTTCGCTGACACACAGGTGAAGAAGCACTAACGCCTGACCCCAGTCCTAGGCCACCTACTCGCATACACCGCCGCACGAAGAGGACGCTGTAGTCACGGCTTTGACACACACCAAGGTTTGCACCACCACACAAACAACAGCTGTACTACCCACTCTATAGCACTGTTTTCCTCCTTTCCTCCTCTCACCGTGTCATGCACACACGTTCCAAGTCATACTCGCATACACTCACCCACACAAATATGGACAACGATGGCGGAAACTCGCCACACCCGAGTGAGCACGACGGTTTCATAGAAGAACAGGATGTGGTAGATAACTTTCTGCGTGACTTTACCAAAAAGCTATCCCCGGGAGCCTATGACACGCTTGAACATGGCTCGCCCTCTGTCTTACAGGATGCCACCTCCATGTTGGCATCCGAGGTTATTACAAAGAAACTCGAAGGTAAGATCCTGACCCAGTGGCTGGGACAACTAGCCGCAGTCTCCAGGATAACCTTACGCAAATCCGAGGCTAAATCAGAACATCTTCAAGACAAAGTAGGTGAACTACAACGGCAACTAGCGGAAGCTAGAAAGTCCGTCGAAAACCTTAAAGAACAACACCAACAGGTAAGTAGAGACCACCAGCAGGGACTGGCCGCGACTCCAGACGCGACCATGGATCTTGATCGCGCATCGAGAATCAGGGCCGCTATGTCGACCAGAACCGGTCGAGACAGTGCCTCCGGGTCACACTCCCCTCGCTCCGACCGCGGCGACCCATCGTCCGAGAATGAACGCAGGAGCGTGGCCGAACTGGTAAGTATCATCACGGGAAAAGACCAAAATCAAGGTCAAAGGAACAATACACAACCCAACAATACTAATCGAAACAGACCCCAGCGGTCCGTCAACAACGGACCCGACCACGTTGCGCGTGACCCCGACCACATGACGGGACCGCACACAACTACAGCCAACCAACAACACAACATTAGACACATCGACCACTTTGACCCCAGACTCGACCAACCTACGAGCCAGGCGACGTACCACGTGACAGACCGCTCGCGGATCCCCGGGGACTTCTCCGTCTATGAGAGACAACCCCCGCCCGGAACCGCCGCAACACATCGAGACGTAAAACACGAAACGCATGGCTACCAGACCCATACACACGGACTGACCATGGACCGCGGCGAACAACGGCCAACAGCCCGCCATGGGGACGGTGGAGACCACCACAACCAAGGACGGGACCCCCGCGACGCCCCTCCGGGAACACACATGGACATGCGACACGGACTACATGACTACCCGACCCACGACTCTGGTCCACCTGACGTCCATACGAGACATGTTTCAGACTACCGCCATTGGGACGAAAGGGCCCAACCTGGACATGGCGGACAACCTTATAACGACCCCCCTGGCGTACACCAGAACATGCTACCTGGACCACACGACGTACGGTACTCTAAGTCTGGGCCGCCCGCATATGCTGCGACACAATGGCCAGCGACCCGCCATGGGAACGCCGGGGACCTCCCCAATCATGGAGGACAACCCCACGGCACCCCCTCTGACGCACGCCAGGACTTGGCCCTAAGTCAACGACACTACCCGGACTATAGAGGACGCGACGCCTGTCACACGCCCCCGGCAGGTCGAGACCCGCTCGGACCATCCGACCGCGACTTTGACCGCATAGCAAGACACCGAAAACCGCTTTGACCCCTGGCCCGGCATGCCTACAAACACCCGGTCATACCTCCGCATCGTCGATTTCCACGCCGACCGCATACCACACGCATCTCAAGATGACAAAATATTCTTGATTAGACTCACGTCCAATGGAGAAGTGAATGACTTCATCGAAAGGCAACCAAAAGCTATAAAACAGGACTACAATGAGCTCTGCAAAGCCATCCTGGCAGAATACTCAGACTACGGCGCCTCCGGGACCCTCACGGCAGCCATGGCAGTCAAACAAGCTCACAACGAGCTTGCGGAATGCTAGTACCACAGGTTGAGACAGGCCTACTTCTGCAACCGAAACTACGAAGGGATGGAGGAAGATACAAATTTCAGGGCCCTGTACCTCCAAAACCTCCACCCCAACCTTAGCCAACTACTGGGCGTGTACGCCTGCCCCCTTACACAGGACATAAGACAACTGAAGACCCTAGTGGCAAGGGCACAAACCAAACACTTGCTCAAGACACAGGCGAAGCCGCAAACCCAACCTACGGTGTACAGTGTGGAAAACCACATGGAACTCGAGGGCGCACCAACGGCCCAAAAACACAAATGGGAAACTGACCGCGGACCCCAAAGGAATAACCAGAGACACGCGGACCCGAAGAACGGACAGCCACGCGACCAGAAACTCCCGCAATACGGCGAGAGACGCGCCGGCCAGGCCGACGGGAAAGACCGCGCGCCACAACGGTCCCACCAAGACCGCACTGCTACAACCATAAATAAGAACAACCTTTCCAGAGAGGAACAATCCCTCCTCCGCACGCTCCTGCGCAAAGCCAGAGAGGAGAAGACGGACAACGCCGACGTTTTCGCAGTGTCCGTGTCGGATGACGCCGAGGACGCTCCCTACCAAATGGACGACGACCTCAGCGAACAGGAGCCGGATGACGACTACTCCGACCCAAACGCACAAAATGAGGACACCCGCTACGACCAAAGGGAGGTCATGGTAATACAGGTAAACTCCATCACAGACCCACAAGGGGATGGCCCCTCGACAACCAACTGCGAACCACCGTTCCACCAATTCATTGGCGATCTACAACAAAAAGGTACCTACGGGATACTCTACTTGCCCGTGACGCTTGAAGACCAATGGGAACACGAGGCGCTCGTAGACACAGCTGCCGATATCAGCCTGATTGGCGACGATCTCTTCGGTAAGTTACAGTCCTTGGCCAGTAAATCCCACAGAGACCTAAAACCACAGCCATGCGACTTAGAAATTCGACCCTATTCCCGGGAAGACACGACCATACGTAAAATGGCTCTAATGCGACTGACCGTGGGCCCCATGACGCTGGTCCACCCGGTCTACATCTCCCCATTCAACGCGCATCCGCTCCTACTGGGCCAGGACCTTCTGAATCGGTTTAAGCCCCTAATAGACTACCAAGGTCTGAAGATCTGGGCACAGGTCCGGGAGCCCTTGCCCATTCTGCGCCCGTTGGGCGTGAACCACTGCTACTTCATAAACGCGCCGCCCGCGAACGGCCCACGGCCCGCCGCGGCACTAACCGAAACCGGTCAAGGGACGCCCACGACCTGCGAGAAGGCCGCGCCCACGCGCACAACCCCCGACCTCGACAGGTCGGACTTAGCCTCCCTCCGACATGCGGACCACACACTAGAACGACCCTTCGACGTCGTGATCAACACGACGCTCGGAATCTCCGGCCGTGATAAAGACAAACTGCCGATACGCCATGGGCTGTTAGGTTCTGCTTCCGATACACTCACTTCGTCGGTACTCGTGGTGCCTCGAAGCATGAGGGGGGTGATGTTGGCACACGCCCATGACGCACCTACCGCGGAACACAGAGGTATAAACAACACACGCCAGGCACTACAACAGGTAGAAAGGACGGACCGGACGGGGACTGAAATACTAAGGTACGTATCCCCAAACCGCAACGAGCTCCAGGTCGAAAACCAGGTATGGTATTACACCTTGGCACATTCCCCAGGACACGTGGGGACCGGCCCCACCAGACTACGCCGGAAATCGCTACCCCGCTGGTCAGGACCATACAGGGTGGGAAACAAACTCTCGACCGCAGTGCACCAGATCGAGGTCACAAAAGGTAGAGAGCCCACCCTCAGATGGGTTTGTCACAACCAAACCAAACCACACAAACAAAGCCCCATGGGACGAGCAGGGCACCCTGCAAACCCCAGTTAGGAACACACCACGTGACCCCAAACACTATTAGTCCAGCCCCCACTAACGCTCTTCTCGGCTGCACTAATCGAGTCTCTCTTTCTCCCTCTCTGTCTAACCCCAAACATTTGTCTCACGCCTTGCAGAACATGTGGCCCACTTTCCTTCTCATGCTGACCTGCATACTGTGCCTCGGCACCCCAGAAATTATTGAGACCGGACCAGCCTCCGGGATCGTTTTGAAGGAACAACCCGGGCTCCTCATCACGGACGTCCGACTCCACACACAGCGAATCTTTGTCAGACTCAATTCTAGTGAAGTCTGCCGCAAGAACCTGCCCTTGAAAGTCACACTCAAAGACTGGGCAGGTGCACGCTGGACCCAGACGGTCGTGGAGCACGCTGAGGCGGACATACAACACATGCTGACACAACTAGAGAAGTTCACGATCACTAGGACAGAGATCAGTGACACTCGCCCGAGACCCAAACGATTTATTGGGGCTCTCCTCCCGCCCTGGGACCCTCTTTAGCCTGGGAATGTCCACGGTAAACGCCATTAGCCTATCCTCCCTCAGACGCCACCAACAAGAAATGGCCTCTGAACTCGAGGATGTCAAAACCAGACTTGACCAACAACAGAACGACGTGGTGACCTTGGGAAAGTCCCTGAAAGGAACCATGCTAGTGCTTAACACGCACGAGGTTGCGATTAAACGCACCTCCGCTGCGGTCAATCAACTCCTAGACGTTCTCCAACTAGACTACGCCCATACTCAGCTGACCACCCAGCTGATGGAGGACATGCTGCGTCACCTCAGTTCCTCGATCGAAAACCTAGCCATGGGCCGTATCCCACCATACCACGTGCCGCTATTGTTAGTTGAGAACATCCTAGCCGTAGCCACACGGGACGCCGTAACCCCCATGCAAGCCCACTTAGCGTACACGCTGGGCGCTGCAGTCCCCATCTATGTTAATTCTCTGGACCGCGAGGTAAGTAAGTAAGTTAGTAAGTTTTTATTTATATACCGCCTTTACACTGCAGAGCTGAGTCTCAAAGCGGTTTACAATTGTTAATTTTGGGCACTTGTATCTCACTCCACACAGAGATGGGAGCGGGCAGTGTTGCCAACTTAGCGACTTTGTCGCTAGATTTAGCGACTTTTCAGACCCCTATAGCGACTTTTTTTCAAAAAAGCGACTAGCGACAAATCTAGCGACTTTTTCTGGTGTTATTGGCAACTTATCTGGTGTTTTGGCGACTTATCTGGTGTTTTGGAGACTCGTGAAGCACGTATTGTTCTGCTGTCCTCAACGTGAGCCCCTCCCCCGTCCCAAAGCACTTACAGGCGGCCAGTCTCACAGGAGCCTTGCGCAGCAGTCCCAGCTACAGTCTATGGGCGGAGCAGAGAGAGAGAGAGGAGACTCAAAAGCACAGGAAGTTTTCAGGCTGCTGCAGACTGAACTTCAGCTCCACCACCACCACACATCCAAAGCTCCCCGGCCACTCCTACCACCGCCACCCCCCACTACCCCCCACTCCATCCGCGGCAGCTCTGTCCGTGACTCTGTTTTCTCTCAGTAGTGGGTCACATTAAATCATTTGTTATGCCAAACTATGAAAAAAAAAAAAACTTACTAAAATAAACCTAAGTAACTCTGCCAGAGTGTGTCTTTTGGGTCACTTTGCCGGTCCCAAGCCCGGATAAAGGAGGAGGGTTGGTTGTAGAGCTAGCAATTTCACCCTACATAACAATCTTTTGATTACATTTGCTGTTATAACATTTAACAATACAGGACAAAACTGATGTGTGTAATGTGGATCTAGACAAAGCATTAAAATCATTAAATGTTGTTAATGTTGAAATTATTTTTGTACATTTGTAGTTCTAAACATATTTAGGGTGTTTTTACTCACTTTTGTCTCTCCCACGACCTTACCAGCGTCCGTTACAGTTATTTGCAAATGGCAAATTATGCAAATTAGGCGATGACGTCATTTAGCGACTTCTAGCGACTTTTGGGACAGCCAATAGCTACTTTCCTTACTGAGGAGTTGGCAACACTGGGAGCGGGGTCGCCAGTACAGGAAGCGCATGCCAGAACTATTGGACATATTTTTAGTGGTAGGGGAAACCGGAGTACCCGGAGGAAACCTACGCAGACACGGGGAGAACATGCAAACTCCACTCAGAAAGGCCCTGGTCCGACCGGGATTCGAACCCAGGACCTTCTTGCTGAGAGGCGAGAGTGCTATCCACTCAGCCACCGTGCCGTGTAGCCTTCCTAGTCACCCTACCGATAGTTCCCGGCGATAAAATCTACCGGCTAAAAGGGGTCACTAACCTAGGGACCTGGAGGGACAATGCCCACGTCAGAGTCCAGACACCAGACATAGTAGCCTACCACGACAGTAACCCCAATTTGTACCTAACGCCAAATCTAAGGATGTGCACCCTCACCAAGGACATCCATTACCTCTGCCCCAGCAAACCTTTCGTCAGGGACAGCACAGATGGCATCTGCGGCCTGAGGCCCATGACTCCAGGGAGTCGATGCCCCGCGACGGTCACCTCTCGGAAACAAATAACCGAAACCAGAGCAGAGATTATAGGGGCAAGATGGCTAGTGAACACTCCCCTTAGAACGGCGACCCTGACCTATGACAAACATGACACCTCGTCCCGAGTAAGCCTCCCGGACGGCCCCTTCTGGGTCGACGTCCCAGCCGACGCTATCCTGCACGTAGGCGACCTGGCATTATACCAACTGTATCCAAACCAGTACGAGGCAGAGGTTGAGGTACCAGAGTTCTTTGAGAAAAGGGCCTTGGAACTTCAACCCTCCACCCTCGTCCAAGCCACCTACGAGGGGGCACAAACCGTTGACGTTACGGTCGTAGACAACCTCCTTCAAGAGATTGCCAAGCGACCGACCATCCACCACCAACCAGTGGCCTACTCCTGGGCCGCCCCCGACACAGTCATGGCCATCGCGGTAGGACTCGGGTACGGCCTGGCCGTAGCCATGGCCTTCGTCCTAAATAGACGGGTTAGACGACTCCGCGATAGCTTTAACAGGTGCACGGAGGCAATGACGAGACAGATCCGTAAACGACCAAACCGGGGCGACAGCGCTGTTGAGCGTGGCAATTTAAGTCGGCGCCCCCAAGTCAACGAATCAGAGTACGAGGACCTCCAAAGCCACCCACTCGAGACGGTCACTCTTTCTATCACAGAAGGTGAACCAAGGGCCTAAAACCCCACTAAGAGTCACCAGCTCAGACCCAAACATATCTACCTCGATACCTAATCAGTCTCCTAGACAATCATACCTGTCATCCCCGTTTATATACACGAAATTCCCCTCGTAATTAAAGCCCTACTTGCTACGTCATATATTCTTGTAACCCTTATACTCCCCTTTTAGAACGAGCAAGATGGGAACCCCTCGCCATCGAGTGCCTTAATGACGCTCCTACCCGCTGCCAAGACAGCCACCCTTTTTGATTTTTGAAGTTTCATATTTTTGTATCCTAGTCCCCTAAAAATAGAAACTCCTGCTAATCTCTTGGCTTGGAACTTTGAGTCTTCCAGACCAAGAGACCCAGGAGCCAGGCGCACCGGCCCAAACCCTAGAGTTCACGGCCGTAGCTCACTCCCTGAAACCCCTGATCCCGGTTAGAACTAGCCTGCAGGACCAGGACTCGCCTTAGAGGAAACCCGGCCTCGACAAACCAAGCCAGAGGCCCGAGACCCAACCGCCACGAGCCTGGCCCCAGTTAGGCGCTTGCGAATTACTGAGTCACATTAAGGCGAGAATGTTGTAGCATGTCACCACAAATCACGCACTAACACCCGAACAGACGACCGACTGAGGATACCCGCCCGGCATATCCGACATGACATGCACCTTGTCGGAAGGTGCATCTCTGCCGTGGGGGGGGTATGTAAGGTTATTGAAAGGGCACCCAGTCGAACATTGACCAGCAGACCAGGATACGTAAACATGCCCTCCTGAGCATGACCCATCTTGACGCACATCTAAGAGACGACCAGGTCAACCAGAGGACGTCATCGGTCACCGAGACCATAAGTGTCAACCAAGGCAATAAACCGAGCCCCAGAACAAACATCTTTGTGCCTTTCTGCCTGGCAGAGATCAGAGATCAATATTCTGCTCTCACTCCCGGGACATTCCACGGCTCTGAGACAATCTGTGACTCACCCACGGCGCTATGGCGCCCCCGAGTGGACACTGAACACTATCACACCCGAGGCGGACACTCGAAACGGACATTCCCCGATGACATTATGTGATAACCGTTACGGACACTACTCGTATGTGGCGTTGTCTGTCATGTGAATGCACTGTGTATCGGTATATGATTATGAACGATATGAATGTCTGTATTAATCCTGTGTTTTGCCAGTATAACATGTCTGTTGTGAAGGATGTCCAGGGAGACGCACAAGGACGACGTCACGGACGCGCCCCCTTTGGAGCACAACAAAACTAAAGCACGGACCGGCAGACAGTCTCTTGGTTCTTCCTGCAATCACTATAACAACCCTTCCTTCTGCGTTCCGCGAGTACGTGTCTTCTACTACGACCCGCGCCTGTAACGCACTGAGGCCTCTGTACATCCACGAGGACAGCATCCATCCCCGCTGTCGGAGACGAGAACTTCCATCACCAGCCACTTTCGGGCTCCCTGGACACCCCACCACAACACTATTCTAGACCGTGTCGTGTGTGGAACCCACGTCTGGACCTGACCTGCTGGCTTCCTCCTGCTCCCCGTTCGGACAAAGGACACGTGGACGAGGCCTTCGCTGTTCCCATCACCCTTCTTCATCCTCATCATCTCACTGCCCCATCGCCATCACCTCTTTGAACCTCTCAAAGTAAGACTGTTCCTTGTTGGAGTGTGATTTGAATGATATGTATGACAATCTTTACTTAATGTGACCAGAAAACCTTTTTCGTTGATATTTTTCTATTTTCATTTTTGTAGTCAATAAACCCACGTTAATTTTAACTCAATCATTTAAGAGTCGTGTTTTTAAATCTCGGATATCCCTGGCCGATTTTCGTACTCAGCCCATTAGATTTGTGATACTGGTATCGAGGCAAATATCTCCTGGTCTGTCGTAGACCCCAAGACGTCTACTGGTGCCCAAAATAAATAAGACAGATCCATTGGTGGAACGGCGAGTTTCTGATCCGGAGACTAGCCGCTCCACACTACTAAATTTATGATCCCACTCATATAATCACCCTTTACATAATTCTTACCCTACACACGTGTCGTATCAACCAAGTCGAGCCTTGCGCTCACAAAACGCCAGACGTCTGGTGGTTCCTAAGGTCTCAAAGGTCACTGTTGGTGGCAGAGCATTTAGCTCCAAGCTCCTTTACTGTGGAATCAGCTTCATTTATGTTAAGGAAGCAGATACGGTCTCCACATTCAAGGCCAGGCTTAAAGCACTCTACTTTAATTTAGCATATAATTAGGTCATATAAATATATGGTATATATATTATATATGTATGCTGTATTATGTTATATATCATGTTATATATTATACAATATATGTATTATGTTGTGTATTGTGTTATGTTGTATATTATGTTATATATTATGCTGTATGTTATGTTGTGTATTATATATGATATATATAATATGTATGGTACATGTGATGTATATGATATATAATATATAATTAGGTTTGCCTGGATCGGTTTGGCACACCTGGTGTGCAATCCATGAATCTTGGTGCTGTAGCCTGGGCTAGCCTAGCCGTGGCTGCTGCTGCCTCGCCTCCTTTCAGATACGCTCTCTTTATTCAAGGCTAGGTTTAAAACAGTCCTCTTTAGTTTAGCTTATGGCTAGGAAGGTAAGACTCAGGGAAGGCTAAACTCCTCAGACTGTCAGTCAAGCTGCAGAGGGAGCCCCCTGCTGGAGAAGTATGGTAACTTGAGCACTATCCTCTCCTCCTTCCTACTTTACCTGTTTAGCATTTTTAGGATTCTGACTGTAGTTTGTTCATTGCTATTCACCCGTTGTCCCATTGTCTGTTTCATGGTACGATGACGGGATCTCTGAGCCTGGCCTCCTCCATCTACACCTGCGGACTGCCCCGCCCGACCCGCCTGGGAGTGCTTCGGTCCTGCACCGGACCTGTCCACGTTCAGCGGCCACTGGTCCACGTCCTGTAGCTAGCTTAGGTCCTAGATCATTAGCCTGTCCGTCCGGAGGAGCGGATCCCTTTCTCATATGGGTCTCCCTCCCTGTGGGTTTCCCTAGTTCTCCTCCAAGGTTTCTCACTTTTTCCCACTGGGTTTTTTAAGAGTTGTTCCTTGTGGATGCAGGAGGGTCTTGTTGGACAGTTAGTGTCCAACAGAAAGGATTGGTGATGATCAGGACACTTTAGCATTCTACAACATGTATGGACATTTTCTTCTGTGTGTGCTTTATATTCTTCATGTGTTTTAACTGTTGATTCTCTGACCTGTGTTGGTGATTTCAATGGTTTTGTTAAAGCTGCACTAACTGACTTTGGGATTTTGAAGCCGCGGACTCGCTGGCCTCTCTCTCTCTGCTCCCCTCCCCGCACCCACGAAGCTATCGCCCCCACACACACCCACTGTTGGGACGGAGCTAGCGTCTCCCAATATGGATAATACATGGACATGGATTTGCACGTGGATGGCGTGACCATAGAACGATAGAACCGGGAAGCGCGGAGGAACGAGACTTTCTTTTGGATGGCTGTTTCGCTGTGTAAGCAGTAACCGGTGACGAAGACGAGGAAGTTTCAGGTTAGCTCCGCTGCTTGTTGTGCTAACTCAGCTGTCTGTGCTAACGGACCTGTAGATTTCTCACAAAAGTGGGGGCTAGTGGTCCGCTGTGATTGGTCACAATCTGCGACCCGCAACACATTCTCTTCCTTGTTTCATCAAAACTCGATCGAAAATATAATGTCAGGCCAGCACAAATCTGCGCTAATTATTCTTCAGA